TGMYGYCGCTGGGAGCYRCAYWGGACCTTMATGAASAGRATCRYGYTGGARAWGACCATGGGTRGGRCAAARATGAGGAAATYGAGGACRTACATGGAGACGAGAGCCAGCTGGCAGTGTTCACGTTGGTGAGACAGGCAGAGAGAAGTCACGGCAGCAATCACAGAGACGGAGAGAGCCCACAGGAGGGCACACACGATGGCCGACAAGCACTTGGTGTGGCGGCAGCGGTGGCTGTTGTTGGTACACAGGACAGACACACACCTCTCAATGCTGATGGCTGTCAGGAGGTAGAGGCCCATGTTGTAGGCAAAGAGAGAGAGCAGGAAGAGCGGCCGCTGGTACTCCAGGAAGTTCAAAGCGGAGCAGGAAACGTCCTCCAYGATGTAGAGCAGGGCCGAGGTGAGCGTGAAGAGAAGGTAGATGAAGTCTGCGAAGGCCAGGTTGAGGATGTAGACAGTGACGGGGTTCCTGCGGAGGCAGAAGCCGAGGAGCCAGAGGACGGCGCCATTGCCCACCAGCCCGCACGGGCAGATGAGCAGCGTGGCCCCGTCCAGGAGCACGGCGGAGGTGTCCAGSGCACATGCGGGATTGTCCTCGCCCRCTGAGGTGGGCTGCGCGGGCGGCGGGTGAGTGGGGCTCAGCTCCATCCCCAGGGAGGCCGGGCTCGGCAGCGGGATGCGGGCTCTCGGCTGCGGYCAGAGGAAATCGGGTTAGTGACTCCAAGATGTCTCGCCTGCTCCCCACGCTGGAGAAGCAGGAGCCCYGGCGGGCAGCCGAGACATGGCCAGGGGACAGAGGGGACATTTCCATGGGGAAAGCAGTGAGGACTGAGGAGGCGGAGGAGGGAAAAAGGATGGGTGGGGAGGTGATCGCCTGGAGAGACCGATTCACTGATGATCAGGGAGGTGAATGTGGGAGAGAGACTGGGCAGGTGCCAAGGTGTCCGGGGGAAGGATGTGGGAGTGGGTAAGAGGGGCTGGGGGCTGGGAGGAACCCAAAAGAGAAAGCCAGAAAGACTCCCTGCAGCTTGAGCTTCGGTCTCACAATCCCCTACCTTGCCGGAGAGCGGGCTGGAGAGGATCTTCTCCCACATCTACGCAGGGCACGCTCCCTCCCAACGGGTCCCCATGCGCGATCCTCTCAGATCAGGAGAAAAGAGGTCTCTAGGTCCTCTGAAGACCTGGTGGACGGTCGCTTCCTGTGTGCTTCCAAATAACGCTGTTCTGTGGGGCGTTTCTGCAAGATCATGGGTCAGGTGGTAAGAGAGCACTGGGCAGTTTCAGAGAGGCAGGCTACATCTTCGCTCGCCAAATTTCTGTTTGTCTTGCTGAAAAGGAAATATTTTGTCCAAGGGAATACCCCAGAGGCTGAATATTGCGGCAGTTACRTCTCTCTGTGAAAGAATCTTGATGCTTTTACAATTCAACCTGATACCTCATTACACTAATAATTACCACCTTCCTAATTGTTTTATTGCACTCCAATATTCCCCCCGTAGTCCTGCTCTGATTGCTGGCATCCTTCTGAGATTGTTCATTACTGTTCGCGTTTGCCTTCCAGCCTTTCCGGATGGGAATCAGTCCTCCTGCATCAGSGGTGTTCAGGAATCTCACGTCGGAAGCACCGTTTGCAAGTGCTCCTAGCTGCTGGGGGAGCTGCAGGGAACGTTTGGGTTGTTTGGGTTGTCTCTTGCAGACACAAGATGCCCGACAATCTGCCTTGGTGATATGGTGACAAGCCCTCTTGCTTGGGAGGGAAAGATCCAGGGGAGGTCACAGCACCCCCAGTTCCTGAAGACCAAACTAACCGTGACCAGAGCTCCAGTCTAAGATATTCCCCATGAAATAGGATCACTGCTGCCCTCCTACAACTGCATGGCCTGGCTGCAGCCCTCCCTGCCCAGTATTGGGGTGAAGAGCCCTGCCGTGCAGCGTGGGATGAGGTGAGCTGGTCCTGGTCGGCACCGGGAAGGACTCGCTTCCACCGCCTGCAAGGAAATGCCCTTGTGATTGCAGGAGCAGGCTGTGGTCACGGTGTGATCACATGCTGAACAGTGATGGATTTAGCGGGAGGACGTACCCAAGAGAGCACAAGAGAAGCTCCGACCAAGRGCATGCAGGGCTGTTCCTTCCTGACCTGGGGAGCTGTGGGCATCAAGGGGTAGAACCGGGGTGGGAGATGGAGTAAGGGGAGATGCAAGCAGGAGGGCTTGGTGGGCAAAGGAAAGCCAGAAGCACCTTTAGCAAATTTTGGAAGGCTTGTGGGGCAGGACAGATGTCTCTCTGTTCTGCTACYTGCCTGCCCCAGATGACCTCCTCTGTCCCCATTGCATTGGGATACCCCAGGTGTCCCTCCTGGATGCCTCTAAAACCCCCCACTCCCCATCTCCTGCAGGAGCTGGAGCTGACATGAGGAAAGGGGGGGTCTGCAGGTGCCCAGCTGGGAAGAAGCACCTCCAGAGGGAGGCAGCTGAGCCAGGAAGCAGCGGAAGTCCCTGCGGATGCCTTGTTCTTTGGCATGCACTCGGAACCTGTGGTGAGGAAGGAGAGAAGCAAGCACCGGCTGTGAGAAAGGGAGCAAGAAGTGGTGCCTTAACTGAACCCTTTCCCAAGCCTCGATATGTGCACTGGGCCCCCAGAACACCCCAAATGGACTGTGCCCGAGCACCCTGCAAGACCGGGGCCCCTGTCTCAGGACAGATAAGCAAGGGTGACTACGGGAGCRTCACAGGTAGGGTGGTCACCGGGTGGTGGTCTATGCTAGTGAGTCCCTAAGCAAAGCTTGGTTTTGCAGCCRATTCCTGAGGGTTCCTGCGGCCAGGACTGGCATCCCGGCACTGCTCACACCGGCTGGGTCCCTGCCCGGCTGGACGCGAGAGACAGAGCTGCCTGCCGTGYCACCCGGTGTGACGGCAAGAGGTGGCACCCAGCCATGAGTCAGGCCTCGCCACCTCCCGACGCCCTGAACTTTGCCTCCTATAGATGCTCCGGGGCAATAAAAGCTGGGATTCATGAAGGTTGCCTGGCTTGGATAAGAGGCAGGAGGTTGGGGACCGAGGGGTGACCCCCCCACACCCTTCAGCAGAGACGTGGGTGACTGTGGGAAGGCCCCAAGGCCCTTAGAGTGGGGTAGGATCTGTGTGGCTTTGAGGAGCGCCAGTGAAGTCTCATGCCCCTGGACCAGCTGGTTCTCAGCAATGGAGACTGCTCCCCAGGGCTACATTCTCACCCTCCTCCAGCCCCACCCTGCACCCGCAGCCGCCAGACGTGCCGGGTGCCTTCTCAGACCCCACTGGCCCTCCCACCCAAGCCCGGGGCCAGCTCAGCCCCACTGCAGCCCGTGGCCTCAGGGGCCCTGGAGACCACGAGGCACCGCTGGGGAAGGAGTCGCATGGCGAGCTGTGCACGCACGTGTGCAAGAACATGCGTGTGCGAGGAGGGGTCCAAGAGAGGTCCACGCGTACGCAGGGG